AAAAAAAAAAAAAAAAAAAAGCCAGACTGACGAAAATCCAAGAGTGCAATTTGCAGACAGTGGATGATGTTGAGTTCTGGAAACAAAGGGGTAGTTTCCACAGGCAGAAAAGGAATGAATATTTGCTAACCAATTGTATGTGTCCATATGACTGTGACAGAATGGGGCCACCTTCAGAAATAAACTAGGGAGGCAGATTTTTGACAAATGTACCCTGTGAAGTCCCAGTTGCTCATGGGTGGCTGTGGTGTAGAGAGTGATTAAGAGCAGGGACTCCCGAGTCTATCTGTCCTCAGTCAGCACACTGCTGTGTGTCCCACAACAGCTTCTTAAAGTTCATGGACTTCAATTCCCTTATCTGTAAAACAAGAATGGTAATAGCACCCACCTTTTATGACTGTGACAAAGATTAAATGAGATGATATAGGCAAAATGCTTAGCAGAGTGTGTGGCATAAAGTAATTACTTATAAACATTAACCTCAATTTGTTATGGTAGATGTTTTTATCATCATTGATAAGATTGCTTAGCCTCCATGTATGTAAATATAAAAATTTAGGGGAAAAAGCCAAATTACAGAAATACCCACTAGCATTACCAAAATGACTATCAGTCATAAATGAATCCTAATCTATAAGAAAGATCTTAATGTCAAAGTAGACTGGATATTAAAGTAAGTAAGTGACAATGCCTAAAGAAATGCCACCAAACAGCAAGAAGCTTGTGCAATAATTAGAGCTTCCACCAAATCAAAACCAAGGTCAAGGTGAAATCAAGTTCACAGAGCTTCCACAGAATCAGTACTAGTCTTCAGGGTCCAGTGAAAATAAAAGAGACATGTGCATTAAGTGGAAAAAAGTCTCAGAGATGAGATTCTAAATGAAAAGCAAAAGAAAGAAAATTTTGAAAAATTTTGAAGACAATGCAACATAGAGATGAAATTGTGAAACAGCCACAATCCTTCCACTTCTGTTTGGCCTAGGGTAGTGCTTTTCAAAAACTTTCTATTCAAAAATTTTAGAATGCTGAGCTTTCATTTAGAAAACAATCTTAAAAACATATATGTCTTACATACATATGTATGTATGTGTGTCTGCAATAAATTGAAAGCATGGCCTGGAGAAGCTGGGGCACCACTTTATAAAGCAGTCTTGCCCAGTAAGTCAGAGCATGCAGTTTCCTGAGCAATGTGGGCTCTTGTGTTGATGGAATATGGTGTTATTTTGGCAGGCAAGGGTCACTAAGAAAAGCACAGAGGTGGCCTGCATATGCTAAAAATCATTTCCCCTAAGGGAAACCTTCATGACAATGACATCTGACGAATATTAAAAACCAAAGGATTTGTAGCAGTCTATATAGTAGCAAATAGTGGAAGAACTGATGTCACAGGCACCTAGTAATAAAACAACAACAATACCACCTATGGAGCACTACTGACACCTGTGTGGCAGGTACTGTTCTAAGCACTTTATACACCTTAACTCATTTAATCTTCCCAACATTCCTTTGAAGAATTCTTATCCCCATTTTACAGATGAGGACATCAAGGTCAGAAAAGTAGAGTAACTCGCCCAAGGTTGCAAAGCTGGTAAATGGAAGACTCACGCAGTCTGGTTCTTGAGTCCACATTCTTAGCCACTAGACTATACCCACACCCCTCAGTGATTACTACAACACAGAGCCAGTGAATGCAGAGGAAGCTTTTCAGGGCAGTCAATCCTCTATTCACAAGGCAAAC